TAACCACGACAGCTACTATCACAGATCCACTAGGAAGATAATCATTTCCATAAAACAATGGATAAGACAATATTGTATAATGTTCTAGAAATTGCAATTCAAATAAAAGCAGTAAGTCAAATCTATGTTTATTAAGACAAATGAAAATGGAACTAATTTATAAAAAATCATTTATCTGCACTTACTCTTTTTTCTGTTGACTGCTGGATCTTTCCGCAGGCCTTGGCCCATCTAGTTCATAGATAAATATGCCTGACAGACCTTCAAGAGCACAGAGACAGGCAGTGAAAGGATGTCTTGAGAAAAAGGATTACAAAAGCTACACTCAAAGCATTGAATATGCTGCAGCTAAAAAGAAAGACAACAACACGTACAGGATGGTCTTAATCCAAATCCCAGTAATCAAATTACATGATCAGCTACAGCTTCTTGTCTCTTAATTTATAAAGGGATCAAGCAGTATTAGAATCGGGTTGCTATACAATATGAAGTGCTCATCCTAGCATGACAGCACATACAAAAGCAATCCGTACCATGCAAGATCATGAGAAATGAATTTAGCAGCCATTCTGTACCTAGAAATTCAAGAAATGGGATCTTCATGTCCTTGTTTTTCTCTTTTGGAACTGAAAGATGCTATTTGTATTCAATGCAAATGTGTGACTTTCATTATGGGAGTTACACACATGTATCCAGAGCAGAACAGAAATACAGGCATGCACACAATTAAATAACGGGGCTCATTGTTTAACAATCTATGGCTAATCTTAAGATATAATAATTTATTAGTGTGTAACAATGCTTTCAAAATTTACATTTTGTTTCAAATTTATGTATTTATTGAATGGGAGATCTATTAATCATTTATGTGGTCCCACTGACACTATTGGGACTGCTCATATTGATAAATAAGGACTGCTCACATGAGTAAGGGTTTGTAGGATTGGCCCATAAGTTGTAACTTTTTCAACTGTTTTTCCTGTTACTGCTACAGTTATAAAAGCTACTCAAAGACAAGAACAAAAAGAACAGAGAAAAAGTACAGACAAAATAAAACTCACCAAACTTATAATACAGAGCTACCAAGAGAAGATACAAAGTATTATCAGTCTTAAAGATAAAGTACTCAGTGTCAACTATAGGAATAAAAGTTTTGGCAGCTATTCAGACATAATTAGAATCCCCTCCTCCACTCTACTGCGGCTTCTTTTGTATATGAGGAGGCTAAGCCAGATTAAAAGTTATTCAGCTAAGATTTACCAAATACACTTTTCTGTACATTTACACCAACATTTTCAAACCGGGATGCTTAAAGTTAGGTTCCTAAATCCCTGTGTAGGCTCCTAAATAAAGATGGGCTGATTTTTAGAAGTGTTGAGCACCCACAAATCTCACAGCTGTAAATGGGCATTGCTGTTTATTGCCTAACTATGAATTTAGGAGCTTAACTGTCAGCATCCAGGTTGAAAAATATTGGCTGTAAGAATAGAGAAATATTTAGAAATGAAACCAAGGAAGAGGTGGCCTGATTAGTGTACAGCTAGGTAGGGGTACTGTACTCACTGCAATTTAGCGGCGCCATAAGCTAGTGTCAAACTGCACCCGTCTCTGGTTCCAGCATCTGTTTGTTTTGCTTTCACTTTCACCTGCTCGGTTTGCCTCTTCTTTCTCCCTCAACCCCCACAGATGACTTTTCAGGGCTGACAGTTTTAAGACGTCTTGGTCTGACCTCCTTGAGCTCTTCTGCCAGACTCTTACCCTGTATGCACTCATGTCCCACTTAGTGCTTTATTTGTAATGAAAGAAGTTCTGGGGTTGAAGCAATTAGGTGCTGGGGTTCAAGCAATTTTTTTATATTCCCAACTGATTCAGCAAGCCAAGGCTATGCAGTACCAAGCCTAGAGGTTCCAGGGCCCACTCATGTCTGCCATGCTGCCGGCAGTGAATCAAAGTGACCTGTGTATAAACTGCCTCTCCTTGTTCCTTTCTCCTTGACTTCTTTCCACCTGCCTGCCTGACGTTCCGTTGTGAGCTAACATTTGGACAGCACTAAGCACATCATGGACACTGCAAGTAATAAATAATATTAATCTTCTACATCTAAAAGAAGGGTAGTCTTTATAACTGATCTGCTTCTCTGTACTGTTCGAGTGACTGTGGTTGAGGCTGTAGAGCCACAGTTCCTGCCCCAGGGAGCTTACAGTTTAAGTGTAGATACCGATAAAACAGGCCAGCCATGTCACTTGCCAGGTTGCAGCAGTGGAGAACTCTTGCAGTGCTTATTGAAAAGTTTCAAGGAAGGGAAGTGTTGTAAAGGGTGATCTGAAGAATAAAAGGAAAGATGTTGATGCATGAAAAGGGGGAGAGTTCAATGGAAAAAGGGGTGAACACAAATTTATTCCAAAGGAGCTACGGCTATCCCAAAGAGATACAGTGATTAATCTGAATTGCTCCTGCCCCTCAGGTGGCTCCCTCAAATTCCAATCCCTGAAATGATCTTCTGAATACCTACCATGCAGTTAATATTATTTTAACGTATCAGTCCTAGATCAATATTTCTTGTAGGATAAAACATTTCTTCATGGTGTAATAGTTCTTTTAAGTAATTATTTTAGTTACTGTGGTTGCTGTATTATGAGATCACCCACATGAAGACTGCTAAGAAAATGTTTATTGTTGGAGTGATTGCTTCCACTCTTCCTTTTTGGCAAAGCTTTGGGCTCTGAAAGAAGTACATGGAACAAGGAACCCTCATTCACTTTCCCCACCCACAATGTCTCTAAAAAAGTGCAGCTGTAATATATCACCATATGTTTAAACATTTGCTATGTATACAAGAAGGCTGAGGTGTGGTAATGCTGGAGATTTACAGTATAGTTTTGCAACCTGTTTTAATAATAGTTAGTTGCAAGAAGGTATTAGTGGAAGAAGGGTATTAGAAGGCTCAGAGGATTGGAAAAAGGCTGGAGATCCTTTTATCTCTATGTGGCTGATTCAATCCATCCTCCAAAGGTCAGCTCTGATTTAAAGTCCATATCTAAATAGTGGTTCATGTGCAATGAACTGGAGTTTTCACTGTAGTGAACAGATGACCACGTCCCTAAAACACCACATTCAGCAGCCTAATTTGAGGCAAAGGTCTGACCAACAATGTTCCCTCTAATTTTTTCCATTTGTGTGTGGAATACATTTTGGTTATATGCAGCAAGGCATGTACAGATGTGCACCACCAACAGAAAGACATGCTCTTGATTGCAGGCACTATGGGTGCCCTGTTAATCAACTAGGCAGCATTTGAATCTCTCCAGGGCTATGTCTAGACTGCAGGCTTCTTTCGAAAGAGAAATCCGCTTTTTCGAAAGAGAGCACCCAGCGAGTCTGGATGCTCTCTTTCGAAGACGGCCTATTTACATTGAAGAACGCCTTCTTTCGAAAGAGGAACTTTCGAAAGAAGGCGTTCTTCCTCGTAAATTGAGGTTTACCGCCATCGAAAGAAAAGCCGCGTTCTTTCGAAATAATTTCGAAAGAACGCGGCTTGAGTCTGGACGCAGGGGAAGTTTTTTCGGGAAAAGGCTACTTTTCCCGAAAAAACCCCTGAGTCTGGACACGGCCCAGGATGGCTGGCCAGACACTCAACTTACAGGGAACACTGATGAACAGGTATGCAAAGTAAGCAATGGTATCACCCCAAGAATTTGTCTCTGGAGGGAGGAGTGAGTCATACACAAAGAGCTTTGCTGTTCTGTACAGCAAGGATTCTGATATTAACTACATACAGTTCACAAAATGCTTTGAAGATATCAAGTGTTGTTTAACAGCTAAGTTTATTATTATAGTTATACTAGCCCCTTGCTCACTATGCTTTCCCCCCCCCCTCCCCCCCCCCCCAGGGGGGTTGTCTGGCCAGGGGAGAGGAGGCAGGAGTGGGATAGGGATGTGGGGTCTTGGTGGAAGGGGTGAGGGAGGTAGAGGGTTGGTCAGGCTCGAATGGCGGAGGGGACCCGGTGCAGCCTGGGAGTTGGAGGGGGTTCAGGCTTGGATGGCGGAGGGGTCCCAGCTCCAGCAGCCCCCCCGGGGTGTGAAATGGGAGCCAGAGCTGGAGCAGCACATGCCTGGAGGGGACTGTGCTGAGGCTGGCAACAGCAAATGGCTGAGGACGGAGACAGAAGCCAGCAGTGGCATGTGGATGTGGATGACATGATGACATCATTCTGTCATCCTGCAGGACATTTTTTTTCTATATAAATATAGAGAGATATTCTTAGTATTCTTAGTATATTAAGAACTATTAATCCTGCTGTTTATCTGGTAAATAAAGAGAGCAAGAATACACTCTACTTTCAACATAATTGTCAGCAACAGTGTATTTAATTGGTCCGAGTGATACTGATACTCAGACTTTTCATTCTCATGCAGTTCTGGTGTTGTGATTTGCATTGCTTCGGAGCTAATTGTAGGACAGAACAGTTCTGTAGTTTGTTTTGCTGCATCTGAGAATTTTACGAGGGGTCCCAATCTTCTCCTCTGCACAAAACTCTAGCAAATAGCCTTTGTGCAGGGGCTCCCTTAGCATATGTCTCCCTCCCTTCTCAATCTGCTTCCAAAGTACTTCTTTGCAGTTCTGCAGATGGGGAACCTGTGGAGCTGACCTCTGCTCTATCCACTGTCTCCAAAGGCTCTCTGTGGTCTCCTGTGTGACAGGAACACATTCTCCCTGAGGCCACTGGTGCCTAGGGCATATGTGCTGCTTGCAGAAGGCAAGCAGTTTATGACTCATTTTCTTCATACTGTCATGATGGCTGCAGTAGACACAAAGGAACTGCAAGCTAAGGCAGAATTTGAACTCACGATGACATCACTTTTATTTCACAGGCTTTGCGCCACCTCCCACTTAGCCTCCCTGTAACATCTGTTTTTGTAATGATTATCAGGGGAAACAAATACTGTGTTGTCTGAGATGTGTGAAAAAAGCAGATTGAGAGGTAAAGCTATAGGAAATCACCCATGTGAAGAGATGCCATTGCTGTTTATCCTTGCCTTATTGTCTGAACAACCATTTAACAATCAAAGCCATTCTAGGAAGGCTGTACCTCACAATTGCTAGGACTCACGATGCAGACCAGTCCCCACTAGCTTGGAGTAAAAATCCTCAGTATCTTAAGTTCTCTTTTGTAAGAAGGCGTCTCTTCAAAAGCTAAAAACGACCGTTCCGACTCTGCATGACTCGCCAGCTGCTCAGACATGGAGGAGGGAGACGGCTG